AGTAGTATAGTTATATGTAGCATGTACAAGTAAGTCCCTAAATTTAATCCCCAATACCACTGAGAAAGAGAGAGAGAGAGAGAGAGAGAGAGAGAGAGAGAGAGAGAGAGAGAGAGAGAGAGAACAGGAGAAAGAGAAGAAGAACGAGATGGATTAAAAATGTTATTGGTGGGACTGGGAAGGTGGCTCAGTGGTAGAGTGTTTGCCTTGCATACATGAGGCCCTGGGTTCGATTCCTCAGCAACACATAAGCAGAAAAGGCCAGAAGTGGCACTGTGGCTCAAGTGGTAGAGCACTAACCTTGAGCTGAAGAGCTGAGGGACAGCGCCCAGACCCAGAGTTCAAGCCCCATGACTGACAAAAAAAAAAATTGTTATTGTAAGGTCCCCTCCTGGATGGCGAGCAGACTCCACCCTCCTTGCAGCAAAGTTTCCACCCAGTACCTGCGTTACTTCGGCAACTAGCACACCTGGAAGAGGTCACATCTGCATCTGCTGAGGTCACCTCTGAATTGGATGTGGCCACACCTTTCTCCGCCCATACCCTAGATAAGGCCTAGCCCAGGCCCAGACGCTCTCTTTTCTAGCTCTTTTTGAGTTTTTTCCCAGCTCTTTCCCAGCGCTCTCTCTTTCTCAGCTCTCCCAGCTCTCTTTCCCAGGCCTTTCCCCGCCGCGTGGAGGGCCAACATGGCCTGGTGCCAGCCAGAACAGTGAATAAACCTACCCCTTACCTGAATACCACCTGCATGGTGCTGTTCTTACTCGTCTCTTTTTTAAAAACCTAACAGTTATTGGTCACAGACATACAAAAAAAAATTACAGGCCAGTTTCCTTGATGAACATAAATATAAAATTCTCAATAAAATATTTGCAAACCAACGTTAACAACACATTAAAAAGATCATAAGCTGAGCGCTGGTGGCTTACGCCTGTAATCGTAGCTACTCGGAAAGCTAAGATCTAGGAATTGTGCTGCAAAGCCAGCCCCAGCAGGGAAGTCCACAGACTCTTATCTCCAGTTAAACACTAGTGGACTCTTATCTCCAGTTAAACACTAGATAAACAAAAGTGGTGCGGAGGCTCAAAGTAGTAGAGCACTAGCCTTGAGCAAAAGAGCTCAGGGACAACAGCCAGGCCATGAGTTCACACCCACAACTGAACAAAAAAAAAGGGGGGGGGATCATACACTGTGATCTAGTTTCATTACAGAGATACATGGATAGTTCAACATAAAGGTAATATAGAACATTAATAGAATCCAAGATAAAAATCATATGATCATCTCAATAGATGCAGAAAAACCCATTGACAAAACTGAACATCCCTTCTTTGATAGTAAGTTTTATCTAGGAATGAAGGTACATACTTCAACATGTAAAGGCTATATATGATAGTCTTATAGCCTCTATATTATAAAATTATAGACAATACTATACTAAATGAGGGAAAACTGAAATCATTTTATCTAAAGTCAGGAATAAGACAAGTGTTCATTTCCCTTACTACACACTCTTATTCAGTATAGCACTAGAATTCTTAACCAGAGTAGTAAGGCAATAGAAAGAACTAAAAGATATTTAAATAGATAAGAAGTCAAATTGTCTCTGCTTGAAGATGAAAAAATCCTGTACTTAAAGACACCCCCCAAGAAAATTCCTAGATCTAATAAACAATTCTTAATATAGCAGGACATGAAATTAATATATAAAAATTGGTAGCTTTCTTATATACCAATTGGAAAAGTCACAATGAAAGCCCCCTATACAATTAAATTATAATAAGAAAAATGTTAAGTGAATGATGATTTTTTTTAGTAATTTGTCATTTCCTTTTGGGTCTTTTAATTTTATTTTTTAATTTTCAGAAGTTTAGTTACATGTCTTGGTCTATATTTCTTTGTGCTGATACTATTTAGGGTTCACTCACTTCTTGAGAATATAGGAGACAGGGGTAAGAATGTTCAAATGGGTGACACTGACCAAGATGCGCTGTATTCATAAACTGCTTTAATGAATAGCAACTCCTTTATACAACTACTTAAAGATAATAATTTTGTTTAAGAATATAAACTTTTCCCTCCCCCACAGTATAACCCCTGCTTTCACTGTATTTGATGTCGGTATAATTTGTGGAGGGGAAGGGAAAAAACAAGTCGTTTAAATAAGGATACAAGTGGACCTGTTGCAACAATGAGAAGTACAAGTCGTTATGTCGAAAACAAACTTGACAACTTTGGTGGGGGGGGGGGGGCAGGGAGGATTGGGTGGGGGACGGGGTGGGGGGGGGGAGGATGGGAAGGATGGGAAGGGGAAACAAAGGAGGAGGCTACAATGCTTGATAAGAAATGTACTCATTATCTTGCCATGTGATTTTAACCCCTCTGTACAGTGTTTTCATAATAATAAATAAAAAAAAAGAATATAAACTTTCTCCTTCACCAAACAGGGGACTTTTTCAGTCATTACTTCTTGCAAATACTCTTTCAACATTATTCCCTTCTTCCCTACCTTACAGGATTGTTGAAATATACTTTACTCATTTCTTACTTTCCATAGATCTCTAAGGCTATATTTGGGGAGAGGAAAAAGGTTGTCTATTCTCTTCCTATTGTTCAGATGGAATAAAATTTATTGATCCATCTCCATTTTTCTTCTGTTATCTCCACCACACTATTCAGTCTATTCAGCAAGACTTTTATTCAATTATTAGATTTTATAATTTCCATTTGGCTCTTTTGTTATAACTTTTTTATTTCTTTGCTGACATTTTCTATTTTTTTCACTTGTTTCAAGAGAATTTCTAATTGATTGATGAAGCATTTTTATGATGGTCACTAAAATCCTTGCCAGATAATTCCAACACTGATTCATCTTAGTTTTGGCACCAGTTGATTATCTTTTCACATTCTAATTATGATTTTCCTGCTCTTGGTGTGCTATGTAAGTTTTTATTACTAGGTATTTTTGTATTATATGAGGAGATCTTGAATCTATTTCAACCTTTGTAAGGTTTATTTTCAATGACAATTTAGTTTTGAGAGCCCTTCCACTCTTTTCTGGTTCGCTTTGTTCAGCTGCAAGCAGTCCTGCTCCATTCCTGCTGGTGTCATTTATAGGGCACTTCCTGTTTCTTTTCTTTCCTTTTTTAATTGTAAGGTGATATACAGAGAGGTTATAGTTACATAAATCCAGTAATGAGTACATTTTTTTTAACAGTGTCACCCCATCTCTCATTTTCTCCCAGTTTTTCTTTTCCTCCTGATTCTCCTCCCCTCCAGGTTGTATAGCTCATTTCTAGTATCCAGTGAGTATCATTGCTGACATAGTTCACCTTTTGTCCCACCATTTTTTAGTGATCTTCTGGGCACAGGGGATGCCTGTGGCACTGGCCTACGACTTCTTAGACCAGTGGGCAGAGGGCAGAACGATGCATGGTTTTACATTTATGTCACTGTGGCCAGATAAGACTGCTTTTAATGCCTTGGCTGTGGAGCAGAGTGGTCTTGAGTGGTCTTGGGTTTTTGTTGCTGCTGCTGTTACCAACATAGTTGACTGCCTACTGGGCTGGGTATTATAAAAAAAGGGTATAGTTTTCCCAGTACATTGTGTTTCCTTCTCCTGATCCTTTGGTTAGAAAGCAGCTTTCGTTAAGGTTATTTGGCCTACGTTTATTGGTGATTCTAGACTGCAGGCTTCTCTAGTATCCAGGCCAGGGGTATATGACAGACAAAAAGAAACCTCAGAAACATCATGTTGTCATTACTCATGTCCTGAAATCCCCTATCAGTCTCTGTTCTAATTTTCTAGCTTTCAAATTCCTTTTATTATTGCCTGTTCAACATCTCTAAAGATATTTTGTTATATTTAGAGTGAAGAAACCAGGGAAAATCTCTTCTGTTTCAAGATCAGTAGCCTAAATTAATTTTGATAAATTAGTATTATCAATTTAAGTTACCACCCTTCAACTATATAAAAAAAATTTAAGTGTGGCACTGGAGTATAGTTCAGTGGTATAAGGCTTCCTTAGCATGCACAAGGCACTGAGTTCAATCCCCAGTACTAGTCTGAAAATAAAAAGTAGGAATGTTTGCCAGGTACCACTAGCGACTCAGGAGGCTGAGATCTGAGGATCTTGGTTTGAAGCTAGCTCAGGAGGGGGAAAATGTTGTGAAATTCTTATCTCCAATTAACTACCAGAAAATAAAATCAGAAGGGAGCTGGGTGCTAGTAGCTCACACCTGGAGGCTAAGACCTGAATATCATGGTTCAAATCCATACTGGGCAGGAAAGTCCATGAGACATTTATCTCCAATTAATCACCAGAAAACCTGAAGTGGAGCTGTGGCTCAAAGTGGTAGAGCCCTAGCCTTAAGCAAAAAGACCTCAGGACAGCACCCAGACCCTGAGTTCAAGACCCACAACTGACAAAAACAAAAACAAAAAGCTGCCAGAAATGGAGCTGTGGTTCCAGTAGTAGGATGCTAGCCTTGAGCACAAAAGCTCAGAGTCTGGATAGTGGCACAAGACAAGCATGCACAAAAAAAAAAAATGTGACTAGAGTATATGTAAAAAGAGTAACATAGACACATTGTGTAGTAATCATTCTAAAAGGCAACCTAATGTTTTCAGATTTCCAAGTCTTAGTGCCTTGGAGTAGAACCCAGGCTTTGGCATTGTTTTAGTTTAGAAATGAAACAAAAGAATCAACTGAGTAACAATCAGCAGCAAAATTCTAACATGATGTAAGTAAACATGATAATAAGTAAACTTGAGTGCTTCTGTACTAAACAGTACTATTTAAAACTATTTTTCAGAGCTGGGTGCTGGTGGCTCACACCTGTAATTCTAGCTACTCAGGAGGCTGAGCTGACTCTTATTTCCACGAGAAAACTAGAAGTGGTTCTGTAGCTCAAAGTGGTAGAACTCAGGAACAGTACCCAGGTACCAAGTTCAAGCCCTGAGTTCAAGCCCCACAACCGACAAAAACGTATTTTGTTTTCAGGTGCTCACTTCAGCAACACATACACTAATATTGGAATGATACAGAGATTAGCATGGCCCCTGCATGAGAATAACATGCAAATTCATGAAGTGTTTTACATGTTTTAAAAATTGAACTAACTTGAGAGTAGTCTTCTTTTGAGAAGAAAGATGGAAGGGGTGACATTGATCAAGAAGCACTGTACTCATAACCTGACTTATGGGACTGTAACCTCTTTGTACAAGTTCTTAATAACTATAAATAAGTGTAAATGTAAATGAAAACATTCTCAGAATAATCACTTCTGTTTGATGCTATGGAAGTGGTATGAGTATCTCTAGAACCATGAACTTCTGAATAGTAATAATGATTTAGGTGCCCCAGGATGAGGTCAATTATGATCTGGAAATAATAACTGGGAAACCAAGCGATACCTAGTGTGTTATACATATGCCTTTGTGTATGGCATTTGGTGGGGAAAGGCAAAGAAAGGGGCATTGTGTTCCACATTTAGGCAAACGTCCAAGCAGAGAGAATATATCAAAGGAAGTGAGAACTTATTGTACAGAAAAATTTTAAGTTAGATCTAGAGGTGACCAGGAGAACATAAACACTCAGAAATTCACAGACTAGAGAAAGATGGGTCAAGTCAGTTTTCTGTATATCTCTAAGGTAAAGTTCTCTTAGCTGCTAGAAGAAATATGTGAATCTGTGGTCTGTGAAGCTCATGAAACTGGGATGTTAAGGCATAATTGACCATCTAACTGTTGTCTTCTTATATAATGTTGTCAGCCATGACACTATAACCTGAAGTATTTCATGGGAATAGAGAACAGTAAGGAATATTGAGACACAGGGTAGTGTGGAGAGGAACAGCACAAAAGGAGATATCATTGTCACCTTTCTGCAGAGGTGACATGCTTGAACTTTTGCAGATTGAGTGACATCAGGTTTTGAGAGCCCTTTCCTATGATGGATAGGACATGGGCTGTACAAGCTAATGGGATTTACTGTGAAATTTCTGTACATGCATGTATCATGCTTTTGTCATGTCTACTCACCCTTCTTCTACCCCTTCCCCATCACTCCTCTATACCCTTGCTTTCTTGATAGAGCCATTTCAACTGGGATGAAAAAAAATCCCATTGTAGTTTAGATTTGCATTTCCTTAATGGTTAAAATTTGGAAACATTTTGTCATATGTTTATTGACCACTTTATGTCTTCTTTTGAGACGTATCTATTCATTATTGCCCTTCATTTTGTTTGATTACTTCGTGTTTTGTTAAGATTTCTTAATTTCTTTACATATACTGGATATTAACCCTATCAGAAGGATAATTGGCAAAGATTTTCTCTTGTTTTGTAAATTGCCTCTTTACTCTGTTGATTGTTTCCTTTGCTGGGCAGAAACATTTTAATTTAGTCCAATCCCATTTGTCCAATCTGTTTTGGAATCCTATCCAGGAAATTTCTGCCTATGCCAATATCTCTAAGTTTTTCCTTTAACATCCTTTATAGTAATTTCATAGTTTCAGGGTCTTTGAACCATTTTTACTTGATTTTTTTTTGTACGGGGTAAAACATAGAGTTCTAATTTGCATGAGGCTATAGAGATTCCGCAGAACAATTTGCTGAACATGCTGCCCTTTCTCCAGCATGTATTTTGGACTCAGTTGAGAATCAGTTGGCTGGATATGCATGGCTTTGTTTCTGTCTCCTGTATTCAATTCCACTAGTTTGTGTCTGTTTTGATGTCTGAACCATGCTAGGGTTTTTTGTTGTTTTTTTTTTCAGAGATATTATTTTTTTTACCATGCTGTTTTTGTTACTATGTCGTGGTAGTATGTTTTTTTTTTAAGTCAGGTATTGCAATACCTCCATTATTAGTGAGCCCCCCTTTCTGCCAATACTAGGCCTTGACTAACTTGGCTTGTTTTGCTCACAGCTGGTGCTCTAAAACTTGGACCGCTCCTTCCAGGGATGGTGGCCTGAGAGTAGTTAGATTTTTTAAATCAGATCCAGGGCCCTGATGCTTTTGTGAGGCAGAAGATGCACAGACTTTTACAGACCCATATTTGGAAGTCAGACAGAGAGCATCACATCCACCATACTTTTTGAATCAAAAGGGTAAAAGTGGGAAATATACAGATCCTTTCTATTGATGAATAGAGGACCAAAAACTGTATAATTAAAGAACTGTCTAAGTTAGCCAGGTCTCATACCTGTAATCTCAGCTACTCAGAAAGTGAGACTTAAGGATTGAAGTTTGAAGCCAGCTCAAACAAGAACGTTCATGAGACTTTTATCAACAATTAACCACCAAAAGAAAGCCAGATGTAAAGCTATGGCTCAAGTAATAGAGCATCAGATCCAGGAGAGCTGGGTGCCAGTAGCTCAGGCCTCTAATCCTAGCTACTCAGGAGGCTGAGATCTGAGTATCCTGGTTGAAAATCAGCCCAGATAGGAAAGCCCATGCTACTCTTATCTCCAATTAGCCACCAAAAAGCCAGAAGTGGGACTGTGGCTCAAGTGGTAGAAACTAGCCTTGAACACAAGAGCTCAAGGACACCACCCAGGCCCTGAGTTCAGCACCAAAAACAAAAACATAAAACTGCCAAAGTTGCTAATAATGGCCATTACTAGCTATGTACCAAGCTTGACGCTCCTGTTGTGAATTTCTTCTTCACAATGACCTTGTGAGTTAGGCATGCAATCCAATCCTCATCTTTAGGGAGCTAGCAATTATTATATCCAATAATACAAGATTTCTCAAATTAAAAATATTTTGTCCTAAAAATAAATAAAAAAAAATTAAGTCACATTTCAGCCAAGCTTTTCACTGGAGTCTTGGGGACTGTGTGTGTCTGTGTGTCTGTGTATTTGCCAGATCTGGGGCTTGAACTGAGGGCCTGAGTACTTCCCCTGAGTCTTTTTTGCTCAAGGTTGGTGCTCTATCCCTTGAGCCACAGCTACACTACCAAAGTTTTGGTGGTTCATTGGAGATAAAAGCCTTATGAACTTTCCTGCCCAGGCTAGTGTCAAGCCATGATCCTTAGATCTCTGCCACCTGAGTAGCCTAGGATTATAGGAGTGGGCCACCAACTCCCAGATGTCCTGGGGACTTTTATGTCTGGGTTGGCTCAAACCATGATCCTCCAGATCATAGTAGCTAGGAATACAGCCATGAGCTACCAGCACCCAGCTGAGAGCCCCTTCTTTAATGCTTGTTTCATTCTAGTTTGCTAGAATTACTATGAATTCATATTTTCATGTTTTAGACATTTAAATTTTTAATGTAATCATTCTACTGAGTCTTTGAAATTTTTAACATATATACAGGGCACATATGAAGTATAAAATAAAACTTAAAATTCAATCACCTGCATTAGTTGTCAGCCCATATTGACAGCTTTGATGGGTATCTCAACTTTAAAAGTATGTTCTCTTGACTGACAGAAATGAGACAGTAAGGAGCTCCAAAAGATAGAAAAGGTTACTTTAACTTATTAACAACAAAAAGTTCCCCCTTTTTTTGGCAGTGCTAGAGCTTGAACTCAGAACCTCATATTTTCTAGACAGGTGCTCTCCCACTTGAGCCACATCCATATTGGGAGAATAAAGGATCCATACTGAGAGAATTCCATATTGAGAGAAGAAAAGATCTTCTGTACAATATCAGTGAACAACTTTACCATGTAGGAGTAAAAACACATGAAATAAAAGTCAAACACAATTCCAAATGACTGAATTCCCATGTTGCAAAGTTAAATATTTCAGAGAAATAGCAGGCATCTCTTCCTGCTTCCTACATCTTCCTGTTCTATCCTAGCCCAAGGATTTTTCTAATTTATGGTGTTGTTAACTCTGGGTCAGTATGATTAGATATCCTATATGTTGTCCCCATGAAGTAGGGTGTGTGTGTGTGTGTGTGTGTGTGTGTGTGTGTGTGTGTGTGTGTGTGTGTGTGTGTGTGTGTGTGTGTGTGTGTGAGTGTGTGTGTGTGTGTGTGTGTGTGTGTGTGTGTATGTGTGTGTGTATGTGGTGTGTGTTACTAGGGTTGGAACTCAGGGCCTACCACTTGCTAGGCAGACATTCTACCACTTATGCTATACCTCCAGATCTTTACAGAGTAAGCTTTCAATCTGTAGATCAAAATATTCCAAGGAATGAGCTGCACCAATAGCTCCCTCAGGATCAAGGTTCAAATCTGTTCAAGATAGACAAATATGAGAAACTCTCATATTTGTATGAGAATGTAGTAGAATGCCAGCCTTGAGTAAAAAAAATAAAAAATAAAAAAAAGCTGAGGCCCTTAGTTCAAACCCCAGGACTGGCACACACAAAAAAGAAAATTCCAAGGGATGATTCAGAAAGGTATTCTTGACATTGACATTTATTGCTAAAGTGAGTTTTCCTCATTTCTAGTTCTCTCTTGAGTTCTGTCACCCATTTCTTGGTTTTTCCAATTCCAATGTGGTTTGAATATAAAATGTCCCCAAAGGGTCATGTGTTGAAGGTGTGGTCCCAAGTTGGTGGAATCAATCTTGGAGAGGTAATTGGACTATGAGGACTCTGACCTAATCAACAGACTGATTCATTGATGGCTTCATAATTTGATAGCATGATTGAGAAGTTCTGGAAAGTAGGAGGTGAGTTCTGGTTGAGGGAAGTATATCATAAAAGGCATGCTGAAGGTCCTGGACCCTTCTTCTCTTGCTGCCTCTCTGCCCTGTGTCACATGCTCCCACCACTATAATGTGCTGCCTACCACAGGTGCATTACAATGAAACCAGCTGACCACAAACTAAAACGTCTGAAACCTAGAGCCAAAATAAACCTTTCCTTTTATTTTTTTATGTACTTGTCATAGCCACACATACACCCCCCAAAAAAGACTAATAATATTCTTTCATGTATTTTATCATTGTCTTCCCATTTTTCAGTACCAGAGTTTGAACTCAGAGCCTCATACTTGTTGGCTGATGCTCCACTACTTAACAATACCTCCAATACTATTTTTGCTGGTTATTTTGTTTTTTTGTTTTTTTTGGTCCAGTGATGGGGCCTGGACACTGTCCCTCAGCTCTTCAGCTCAAGGTTAGCGCTCTACCACTTGAGCCACA